TTTGCTCGTGCCCCGCAGCCCACCGCTCCTGACTATGTACCTCGCGTGCTCTCTCTCTCTCTTTTCTCTTCTCTCGTCCCGTATATCATGATATGTGAGTTTGCGCGTCGTTTCGTCCTTTTCTTCCCTAGCTACTTGTGCAATCGATTCCCTCTTCTTCGTGTCTTTGTTCCAGTCTCCCGCTTGCCGGCCTTCTGTTATCCCTGCCATATTTGCCCTGCTGATGGTGTGCGCCAGGGGCTGAAGAAGAAGTTCGTTACAGATCTTGCCAGCGAGGAGGAGAGTTTTGCGAAGCAGCGCAGTTATTACGTGACCAAGGTGCGGCGATGGAAGGAATGAAGGTGCAGGAGAAGGAGAAGGAGGCGGAGGAGATGTGGGGGCAGGCTGTTTGGCGCCAGGCCATGCGATGGTGAAAGCTACCGAGGGATGTCCTGCTCTTTGCCGGGGACCACAGTCATTCTTACAGCTACGTTGATCCCAACCTGTTGGTGTAGGCTGCCTCAGCCCCATGTTATTTCACCTTACGGTTCTTCCGGACGTGCTTGCCTTTGCGCATGGAAGGGCGGACACGGCGAAATCGACGAGCAATCAATTGGAAGCTGACCAGTGCTTGGGGCGATGGTGAACGAGTGTGGCAGGCGGAGGCGCTCATGGGCAGGGTTGGCTGACCAGGTAGCGGAGTCGCGGAAGCCTTGCGAAGGTGACGCAAACCGCGACGACGACATATATGATGATGATGACGACGATGACGATGACGATGACAGCGACGACGACGGCGACGACGACAACGACGACGTCGATGACCAGTAGTTCTGCCAGCTCTCATTGTGCGCAGGCGTGGAGTACATGCGGACATCCGAACAAAATCATTGTGTTTTTCGTCTTGTTGGGGAAATTCTGCCAACATCTGTGTTCTTTCCCTCTCACCCTCTCGTGATAGTACCCCAGGCGCGTTTCCTGGCTTCCGCGGCACTGCATTCTCTTCAAGTTGTTCAGCACTGTGCTTTTGTATGAGGCCGGCTTACGTACATGGTCGATCGGACCGTTGGGGGTGCAAGCGCACAACGCTTTAGTAGATGTGTATCGGCCTCGTGTTGTTGGCCTGATCCTCCTCGTCCTGCTCGCTATTCCTCCTTGGGCACGCTAGCTTCCAGGGCGCTTCCGTGACGGCAGCCTGTGTTCACGGCATTGGAATATCCAGAACGCTTCGGCGATCATGACAAATGTTGGTGGAGTGCTTGCGCTGGGGAAGAAATCTTGGTGCGTGTGTCGTTCTAGCATCCAGGCACAGCAAGCTTGTCCGCCTGTTGTGCAGGGCGCCCAACGCAGACTTATCTCTTGCCTTCTGGATTCTTCTCCATCCTGCTCTCTCTCGATCTCTCCTTCCTCTGTCAGTTTCTACTTTCCCCTGTCTCTCTCTCTCTCTTTCTCTCTCTCTCTCTGTGTCTCTTTTTGTCTCTCTCTCTCTCTCTCTTTCTCTCTCCATTCTGTATCACCAGACCAGATCTTACGTACCCACTTTCGGAAGGTTTGTGCTGGCATGGGCTGCGAAAGCGACGAAGCTCAGCGTATGCGATACCAGGCATTCGGGAGAAGACGAAGGCGGAAATGGAGGATGAGAAGGACGATCCGGGAGAAGGGGGACATGGTGACGAAAGCAGGGATCGGAAAGGAGGACGGGGGGATCATCCACGTTTCGGGTCCCATGCAGCTCCGCAGTCGTCTGGCATGCTTCTTGGCTCGCTCATCCTGTGCCCTTTGTCCTCCCCGCGAATGGCGCTCCCTGGCGGGCACGCTCTGCGCTCGCTTCTCCTCTTGTCGACCAGCGCAGCCCCTTCTGCCTTTTCGGGCTCCCCCCGTCTCCCCCTCCTCCCTTTCCTCTGCCACATCCCTCCTGGTCACTCTTTTCCACTTCTCCTCGTCCCCTCCTTCTCCTCTTCTCCGTCCTTTTCCCCCCTCCTCTCTCCACTTCGCTCCATCCCTCGCCTCGCCCGTCCTCCCTCCTCCCTCTTTTCCCTTCGCTCGTCTTCCCGCCTCCTTGGTCCGTCGCCTCTGATCCTCTGATCCTCGTGGCCACTTTGGCCCAAGCTGGTCTTTTGCCCAAGCTGGAGCCCGTGCTCTGGCACAGCAATCCCCCGAGGCAGAAATATCGGAGCCCAGCCCCGCGAGGGGCGGGCCGCGCCCGTGCCGCCGGACACTGCGCTTTTGCAAGCAGGAGCCGAGCACCGGACCGCGCGCGACACGTGATCGACGATCCTCGGCCGAGGCTCGAAGGTGGCGCAGGTGACCGCGGGCAGGGCAGCGACGTCCGGGCGGAAGGACGCAGAGGAGGAGGAGGAGGAGGAGGAGGAGCAGGAGGAGGAGGAGGAGGAGGAGGAGGAGGACGAGCAGGAGGAGGAGGAGGAGGAGGAGGAGGAGGAGGAGGAGGACGAGGGGGAGGGAGTGGCACAGGTGCGTAGCTCCGAGCAGGTCGCGGGGAACACCGCTTTCAGGCGGCGGCACCGGGCGCGGCCGGTCTGCGGTAATCGTCCGGAGGAGGAGCGTCCCTGGCTGCTCCGAGGGCCCCCCCTTGGTCAGGGCGGACTGTGTCCAGCGTCGGGCAGTGGGGGCTCTGGGCCCCGGTCCCTGCGCTGCGCGCCTCGGGGCAGCCGTTTTTGCAAGTGGCTCCGTGCAGGCTTCCGTGCCCCCTGCCCCCTGCTATATCGTTTTGTTCCTTCTTTGGCTGTTGGCACAAGTGGCACAGCCTTTCAATCCCGTCGCCAACGAGGAAGCACTTGAGGCCAAGGTCGAGGGGGTAGATGAGGGGAAGCTTGCGGCCTCCAGAAGTGCCCGAGACATTCGCACGCCTACGGCTCTCATGCATTAGTGCCAAGCTCTAAATCTGGTTTTCTTCACATAATTTCAGAAAGTATGGACACGCAGGATCATATCCAGGTCTGTGATGCGGCGACAGCACAGAGGGCTGGACTGTATTGTTAAGGCTGCCAGGGCTATATGGTTGTATGTCCTGCCTGTCCCTTCTCCTCATCGAAATTCTCTCTGTACCTCTCCGTCTGGCTGCTTCCCTCTCAGTCTCAGTTATGTTTTTTTTTTTTCCTTCTCCCTCTCTCTCTCTCTTTTTCTGACTCTGCACGTGTGTATATGTCTACACACGCACATACATATATACACATAGTCATCCATACATATATATATATATATATACACACACGTACATCTATATGTATATCTACACGTGCACACGTACAACTATATTTAGAGGTTTGTGTGTATACACACGGGTCTACACGTACGTGCTCGTCCCCACGGTCTTACAGATCATCCATCTCCCGCTCGTTCGCCTCAGCTTCTCTAGGGTTAACTAACATTGGGGTGGTTCAGCACTGTTCACCACGCGGGTGAGTACGGCTGCGCAGGAAAGGGCAAGATTCGTGCGAAGACTTCATCGTCCTTGCCTAGACCCTGACCTTTGCAAGCTGCCTGGGCAGGCCGAGTGGGACTCGGTGCAATCGAGGCACGCCGAGGAGGTGAAGCGTCTGCAGGACCTTCTCGACCAGGTCGCCGCCTGCCTCGTTTGCGAAATAGTGGCAACGTATGGCGAGTTGAGGGCGAGTGGGGAGGAGGGGGAGACGGTGGATGACGGTGATGCTGCTGCCTGCGGTGATGTGGTTGAGGATTCTACGGATGATGGTGACGTTGACGATGGCATTGACGATCATTTTGATTTTAATCTGGATGTTGATGATGCTGATGATGATGCTGGTGGTGGTGGTGATGGTGCTGATGACGGTGATAGTGATGATGATGATGATGATGGTGGTGGTGGTGGTGGTGGTGATGATGCTTCTGCTGCTGCTGACGGTGGTGGTGGTGTTGCTGCAGATAGTGATGATGATGCTGCCGCTGATGGTGGTTGTGGTGGTGCAGCTGATGATGATGATGATGATGATGATGATGATGATGATGATGCTGATGATGACTATGATGATTATGCCAGCTGGTAATTAGTGGCGGTGGATGTGATTGATGATGACGCGCATGCTTGCTTGCGATAGTGGTGAATGCCGAATTCTTCCCAGACGCGGAGCATTGTTGTCTGTTGATGAAAATTGTGCGCTGGTTCCGCCACGTCTCCTCAACTCAGCCGCACGTCGCAGTCAATGTACTTCCCAGCTGTTGTTTTCTATTCAGCTGCCTGCGGCAAATTCCGCCACCGTACCAGCGCACCGCTAGGTGTGTCGACGATTCAGCACCGCAGATATTGCTGTAACATGTGATGTCTCTCGTCCCTACTCCTGGATGGGGCTGTCGTAAGGCCTACCTGGGCCGTCTTGGGGCTCTACTGTGCCACTGCTGGGGCCGCCTTTGGGGGCCTGTTGGGACCCTGCTAGGCCGTCTTGGGCCCTCCTTGGACCGTCTTGGACCCGTCCTACCTGTTTTGAGAGCCTCTGGAGGCCCTTGTGGGCCGTGTTGGGGCTTTCGTCGGGCTTTTCTGGGCCACCATTGCCGCCTGGAGGGGCTCTTGGGACCCTCATGGGTCTCTGTTTGAACTCTGGTCGGCCCCTCCCAGGCTTTCCTGGAGGGTCCCGTGGCCTTCTTCCCGCGGTCTCCGCAGCCTCTCGTTGCCCTTTTTGGCCCCCTTGGACCCCCCCCCCCGGTGGAGTTTTTTTTGGGGGTGCCTCTTGGAACAAGACCTGGCCATCTTGACGGCCTCCGTTGCCTTCCCGGGCCGTCCTGGCCGCCTCGGAGAGCCTGGGCGAGCCCAGGGGGGGATTGTCGGGTCCGCCAGGGAGCCTCGGGTGGAGGGGGGGGGGCGGGTGCCCGCGGCACCGCGCGGGGGGCGGGGGGTTCCCTCGACGACCTCCAGCGGCCACACGGGGCAGCGCTCGAGCGATGCCAGAACACAACAAAGGGGTCGTCTGCGCCGACATTGGCGCGTGAGCTGCCCGCGGAAGGTCGCGCGTAAGCGCCCTTGTCTCCAGTGTAGCGTGCCGCGCTGGCGGCCCGCGTAAGACGTCGCGCAAGGTCGCGACGCCATCGCGCGTAAGACCCGTTTTGGTCATCGCGCACTGGTGATCTCTGCTGCCTCTCCGTTGCCTGTGCGGACGACTGTCAGGGCGTCACACCCTGGGCGTTTCTGACATCTGCATGCCCCTTGCTGTCTGAGGCGTGCTTTTTGTTGATCTGATGCTCGGGACCACGCGGACATACTCGGAGCGATGAGACGCACGTTGCAGGTGCTCGCATCGTGGCCGGGAGGGCCGGAAATTCACTGTGGCCTGGCTCGGTCGGTCTCTTGTAAGGGGACGGGAAAGGTCAGCTAGGCGGAGTTCGATGAACATCTCGAGGGTGCGAGGGAGGGTACGGGGGGGTGCATAGGGGCAGGGGGGCAGGGGGTGGAGGAAGAGTGGGTGGGTATGCGTAGGCAGGAGGTGAGGGGAGGAAGCAGTGGGAGCGGCAGGGAGGGGACCTTGACATCCGCCGACCTGATTTTCCCCAACCCTCCTTGACATCCAGTTCTTCTCCTCCCTCCTCCTCCTCCTCCTCCCCCTCCTCCTCCCCCTCCTCCTCCTCCTCCTCCTCCTCCTCCTCGTCCTCCTCCTCCTCCTCCTCCTCCTCCTCCTTCCCTCTTTCCTCCCTACCGTAGCCATTTTGGCTCAAGTCGGAGATGTTATGGCTCAAGCGCCCGCAATAGGAACTCTGACGGCTACGGGATGCAAGCTGAAGCCAGATCGCCAAGGCGGTGTCCTTGGCACAACAAATGGCATGACAAATTCGCATAACTACAATCATTCAGTAATGATGGGTGGCAAAGTCGTGCAAACAACCCTAGACTGCCAGGCGCGGAAGGCCTGTTTGAATTTTTCTAACATAATTCTCCATGCAAATTCCATGCCATATTCATACTGGTGATGTGTGCGCCCGACGCGTTTCGCTTTCGCGCTCCAGGTGGTGCATCCCTGCCGCTGCACGCTCCCGGGGTGGCATGAAGCAGCTTCGCTGCCAGCTACTTTGTGATACGAAATCTGTGTATTTCGTATCTTCCGGGTCCAGGGGCCGACCCCCCCCCCCCGAGGCGTGCACATCTGTCCTCGTCTCTGCCTCTATCTCTTCTCTCCCTTTCTCCCTCTCTCCCTCTCTCTCCCTCTCTCCCTCTCTCCCTCTCTCTCTTCTTTCCCTCTCTCTCTTTGCCTCTGCTTTTTGTACGGGGCTCCTCTCGAACATAGGCGGGTGACAAACGTTTTTTAAAAGTCCCCTTTTCAGGTATCCCCCCCAGGACGTTGCTGCCGGACATCCGCTTCGACTTCCTGCCCTCTTCCCCCACCCCCGCCCCGGTGAGGACTATCATAGGCCTCACCAGTGAGGACCATCATAGGCCTCACACCCCCTGCGGCTGCCATCATAGGGGCCGCTGGGGTCGCCCTCTCCCACCAGTACACCAATGCACCAACACTTTACGGCGTCAGTAGCCAATGGAGGGGGCCGAGGACCTCCCTGCAGCCCCTCGGCCAACGAAGACGGCTGCAGGGAGGGGTCCAAACGTACCTCCACCTTCATGCACCAGTCAACCAACACACCAGAAAGCCAACTCCTCACATTCCTCCCTCCCTCCCTACTACTCCTCCTCCTTCCTCCTCCTCCTGTCTCCTTCCTCCTTGCCTCCCTTGCTCGGGCCTTTGTTTCTGGGTGGCTGCGAACTGCGCAACCGTCGCCACTTTCGTGGGCTTCTGGGAGGTCCATCGGAGTCGGGGGCCGCGCGGATCCATTTGGGACCTCGCGGCTGCCCACTGCGTAACTGTCTCCATTTTCGTGGGCTCTTGGGAGGTCCAGCGGAGTCGGGGGCCACGCGGATCCATTTGGGACCTCGCGGCTCCCAGGGGGGCTGCCCACTGCGTAAATGTCGCCATTTTCGTGGGCTCTTGGGAGGGCCAGCGGAGTCGGGTGCCCCGCGGACCCATTTGGGACTTCGCTGCTCCCTGCGAGGCTGCAACCTGCGCAACCGTCGCCACTTTCGTGGGCTCCTGGGAGGTCCAGCAGAGTCAGGGGCCACGCGGACCCATTTTGGACCTCGCTGCTCTCTGGGAGGCTGCGACCTGCGTAACCGTCGCCACTTTCGTGGGCTCCCGGGAGGTCCAGCGGAGTGGAGGGCCCCGCGGATCCATTTGGGACCTCGCTGCTTCCTGCGAGGCTGTGACCTGCGCAACCGTCGCCACTTTCGTGGGCTCCTGGGAGGTCCAGTGGAATCGGGGGCCACGCGGATCCATTTGGGAGCTCGCTGCTCCCAGGGCTGCTTCGAAGTGGGCAACCGTCGCCACTTTCGTGGGCTCCTGGGCGGTCCAGCGGAGTCGGGGGCCACGCGGGGCTCCGCGGATCCGTTTGGGACCTCGCTGCTCCTTGGGAGGTTGCGAACTGTGCATTCGTCGCCACTTTCGTGGGCTCCTGGGAGGTCCAGCGGAGTCGGGGGCCGCGCGGATCCATTTGGGACCTCGCTGCTCCTTGGGTTGCTGTTATCTGCGATTTGCCCACCCGTCGCCATGTTCGTGGGCTCCTGGGATGTCCAGCAGAGTCGGGGGCCACGCGGATCCAGCCGAGACCTCGCGGCTCCCTCGGAGGCTGCGAGCTGCATAACCGTCGCCACTTTCGTGGGCTCCTGCGAGGTCCAGCGGAGTGGAGGGCCAACCAGACCAAGCCGATACCTCGCGGCTCCCTGGGGGGCTTCGAAGTGGGCAACCGTCGCCACTTTCGCGGCGCAGGTGAGGGCAGCACAGATCCATTTGAGGCATCGCGGCTACCTCGAGGGCTGCGATCTTTGGAGCCCTCGCCACTTCCGTGGGCTCCTGGGAGGCATGGCGGAGGTGAGGGCAGCGCAGATCCATTCGAGGCCTCGCGGCGGAGGTGAGGGCAGCGCAGATCGTGTATATCTGGCAATGTTTTCTTTCCTATGGAGCGTTCGTACATTGATTCGTCTCGCGTGGAGAAGGGGTTAGGCTCGTCTCGGATAATTTCAAATCCGGCGCCCAATGTCTCGACCCCT